TCTCTCTCTCTCTCTCTCTCTCTCTCTCTCTCTCTCTCTCTCTCTCTCTCTCTCTACCTATCTCTTTGTCTATCTCTGACTATTTCTCTTTTTCTCTGTATCTTGTACATCTCGCGCCTCTTCTCTTTCCTTTACTTTACTTTTATCGTTCATTATTCTGCATTTCCGTAAAATACGCTCATCATCGTCTCTTATCATTCACCTTCATATCGTCACGCTCTCCCCTCTGTCACATCGTCTGTCTTCACCGTTATATTACGCATGCACATTACTCGCACATACTACTCGCACGCATGTCATAGCAAAAAAAAAGACGAAATTCGACTCACGATCTTCCAATCGTACGATCGTGGCGTGTCGAAGTGCGTCTTCGGGCCAAAAGTGTTCATGCAATTCAACAACAGCTGTTTCTATTCAAATCTCGTTGAAACAGTGATCGTGGATTTGACTGTAAACAACAAACACCGAACTTTCAAGTTCACGTATCGCCGTTCTGCAATGTAATTAATTGTGCTCAATATTTTACGATTATAGGGACAAAAGTCCGTTATACACGTACTTATTAACATGCATAATTATAAGAATATGAATCTAGAGTTAGAAAATATTCAAAAGTAATATAAAGACTTGCGTTATTTTTTAAGGAATAGTAACTTTACAAAATTGATATCTGTTAGAGAAGTATTACAATTTTCTTTGTATATATCGACAAAACTTCAGCAAAAAGATAAGATATCATTATAAAACTACATATTGATCATAAGACGGCGTCGTGGATACCTTGCACGATCTATGTCGATCATCATTTTTCGCAATTCATCTTTCCTCTAGTCTCACTACTCAAAACTTCGCCATCGAAACGCCACTTTCTACGATCACCGTTCTCATTGTCAGAAAAAGCATCCGCGACGATAACGCGAATGTACTATAATGTATATCACATGAAAAAAATGTACTGTATATCCACGAGACTGTAGATCTGACTGAAGAAAAATGTCTTCTGTACATACACTACAAAAATGTACATAATCAATGTGCGGTTTTGGGAAACTTCATTCTCTACACTTGTACATCTGTATGTCTGTGTGTGTTTCTCGTCTCTCTACACACGCGTAAGTATCTCTATGTATCACCGTATGTTTCATACACGCACACACATATACACACACACGTTCACTCTTTCTCTCGTATCTCGTGTCGTGCGACACGTGCGAGAGCGAGTCCGCGATCACTCGCACCCAGGATGCTTCTTCTGACAGTCTGACGAGAACGCGCAAGAACACAATCTCTGTTGCCGAGGAGCGTCGCGCCGGAGCGAACTCAAAGGGCCTCCGTCGTCCTTCGAAGGTTACACCGGCGCGATAGCGAAGCCGGCCAATAATAACGAGCATGAGTCTTGATTCCACGTATCTGAACGAACAGGCAGCTGCCCCTGTGCCAGCGGAACGCACTGTCGTGGGGTCAGCGAGCGTCCTCGGGGGAGGGGGCCACCCTCTCGAGCCATCCGCCGCCCATCAGCAGCGTCCGGAGAACGCACTCGACGCTCTGCTAGACGAGCTGCAGACCTTCTCGCGACCCAGCTCGCAGTTGGGCCAGGTATCCGGCGGCTTATCGGTGCACCCGGGCTCCACCACGCTGTTAGCCGACGTCGGTCGCGCCTCCAGCCTCCGGGACTCGACAACAAGCGTTGTGGCTCCCGGTGGCGGAGGCGCAGGCGGCGGCGGAGGTGGTGGCGGTCGTGCACCCAGCATCAGCGACATCGGTCGAAAGGGCAGCGTGGACTTGTCCAGCGGCACCCTGACCGTCGCCGCCGCCGGCGGGGTGGGCCTACCCGGGATGGCATCAGGTGCCAGCGGCACGCTACGTCGCCTGCACTCGTACCCGTCGAGCTCGGACACGGACACTTCGCCACCCATCGCCAGGCTGCAAGTGTCGCTGCAGGAACAACAACAGCAACCGGGGTTGCCGGTATTGCCGCAGGGCTTCTTGCCTGGGCAGAAGCCGCCAGTGCCGGAGCGGAACGCCGAGCTGCTGCAGTTGGCCAGCGCTAGGAGAGTACCGCCGCCACCGCCGCCACGCACCAGTTCCAGATCGCCTTTGGCGAGTCCCACCAGTCCGCAATTGCCGCCCAGAAACCACCCGTGCAGTCTGCAAAGCGGCAACGCGACCCTACGCCGACCAGCGACACGCGGCAATGCCATTATCGCAGGCAAAGAGGGTAAGCCACCGATGGCTCTACCGCCGGACGCCACGGCGATTTTGTCCACCGTCGAAACCGGCGACAACAGATCGGTACCGACGTCGGCACCGGTGTCCGGTGTCGCGCCGCCGATGCACAACTCGTCGTCTTCACAGTCATCTGCGGTGCTGTCCACCAGCAATTCCAGCTCCTGCGAGAGCGTCAACTCGCAGGAGGGCCTGCAGAGCAAGCGAGGCAGACAGGAGCAGCTGGAGCAACGGCATCAGGAGCTCCTGAGAAAGCAGAAGGCCTTGCAGGAGCAGTACGCTCGCCTGCAGCAGTTGCAGAGAAATGCGGCGGGTCTCACCACGGTACCGCCGGCGCCGCCCGATCTGCTGAAGAAAACCGGCTCCGAGAGCAACCTCCTGGCGAAAATGGGTCTCGGCCTGAGCGCCGCCAGTTCCGGATCACTCACCAGCCTCAGTCTGAAGCCGCAGATCTCACAGGAAGCCATCGGCGATGGCCAGGCTAGGATCGAGATCGTTAACGGACAAATGATGCCCACAATTGTGACGACCAACCATGTCTGCGGAGGCATCACCACTTCCACTACGGTCGTGCCGAGCTCGACGACCGGCTCCGGCACGATCGTCACCACCACGTCCACCACGACTACCAGCAAAGTCTACGAGACGGACATTCTGTGACCGAGAAGCCGTTCGCTCATCGGATCGACCGTCAAGGTCACCACGGAAATCGCGCTGGCAAGTTAACACAATCGTCGACCGGCAAGATCGCGAGATTATCGCGTAGTCCAGTCTCTTCGGAGAACAGTCGAGGAGGTTGTGGTGAAGTGAGGCGAATGAAGCAAGGCACGAGTAGACGAGACGCCCGAACGGAACGAAGAGGGTGAGGAAGGTTTGGGTTGACGTGAAAACAAGGAATTGCTAGAATTAAGGAGACCGAACTCTTGCGGACGTGAAGGAAGGGTGCACCGACTAACGCGAAGCGACGACAGGAACCGGTCGTAATCGAGCAAGAGGAAGACAGAGACAGAAGAAGAAGAAGAAGGAGACTACTCCCGCGCTACGGTCCCGTTCGATCTTACAACGACGGCGATTCTGTCGTAAGCGGGTGCATGACGTCTCATGGAAAGTAGAATGCAGCGTAGGAATTAGCGCGCGTCACACGTAAAATAATTACCACACTAATCACTATGGTTAAACGATAGCATTAATAATCGTAAACGGCGCGAGAAATCGATATTCCGATATACGCATCACGCGAATTCTGAGGAATAAGGAAGAGGAAGGAAGCGCCGCGAACCAGACGCGAACCTCGCCGTCGTGTTCGTCAGTTGACTGCTCGCATCACTGCATATCCGATGCGCCCCGTGAGGTACACAACCGGCGTGCGGTCGCGACGAGCCCTGGGGCGCGTCTTATCCTCTCGCTCCTCGCCCTCCGAGATCAAGGACATCGTCAGAGGATTACGGTTGTCGAAGTGCACATCTCAAGTGCAATTGCATCCTGCCCAGGTCTACTACAGATCGGTCACGAGCGACGGAACAGTTTCGCGGAACAGATTCGGCGAGAACGTGCGGAGTCCCGCGCACACCGATCCTGCGCATCGATCCCCTCGTATACCTCGTATACACACGCCCCGATATACCCAAAACCTTCGCAACGTCTGTGCCAAACGAGAGAGGAACACGATAATTGCGTACTTTTTTAAGATTATACACACAGCGCGCGTCGCCGCGGACACCTATAACTACCCCGGCTACTCGTCGTTTTTTCTTCGTCGTAGTAAGACGAGCGCGCTCGTCGTCAAGAGAGGTTCTACGTCATCATCGTATAAATACTATACAGATACATACGTATTATATATATATATATATATATATATATATATAAATATATACATACCACATGTACACGCGAGATAGCGGGCAGGGGGATTTATATAAATATATACATGTAAGTGGATAGCTAGGTAGCTAGGTATATATATATTATATATACATGAAATATACGAGATATATCGCAATCGTGTGCATACACGTGCACTCATAAAACACACATACACATATATTCACACGTCGTTAATGTTGCAAACGGAGAGGCGTTCGCTGCAAATCCGAATGTGTCATTTTTAAACGCATCAGTGGATTTAATGTGGCTGAAATTCTCTTCACATGGTTCTTGCGGTTTTAAGTCACGTCATTTAATACACGTTTCATAGACGTGTCAATTATAATTTAATACGTTTAAACGTGTCAAATGACGCGACTGAAAACGGTGAGGAACATGTGAGAGAAGAGAGATTCGGTCAAAATAACACATTTGAATTGGCAGCGCTACGACCTTCCCTCGAATGACATGTCGGCGAAATCACACATTTAAGCGCGTTTCGTACACGACGACGACGACGGTCCTAACGTGCACAGACGTGACTCTCATCGCGTTTAGAATTATAACCTAATTAACTATCATGCGTGTATAGACACAGACACACAAAAACACATACGAAACCAGCCGCGTACAAAGGATGCGTAGCGATAGGCGATCAATTATTCTCGTTACCGATAAGAGACACGGGCGGGGGGCATTCCTCGACAAATGCGATTCACGTGGAAGGTATAAGGTATCCGAAGAGGAGCGATATAGAGCGGAGGCGAGAAGCTGGCACACACGACGCGATACAAGGTGGTCGACGGTCCGTCGACGGAAGACTCGAGATATCCGAGGAAGCGGTATACCAAGATGCAAATACACGAGACACGTTTAGACACCCGGTTACCTTTTTAAACCCATATAACACGATCTGCTGTATTAATGATAAGGTGATCGCAATGATGGCGAATCGGTCGGAGTCGTAAAGCGCGGCGTCGAGTATTTCTGTCGAGACTACGTTTGCACAATTATACGGTCGAGTTGCACCGACAGTTCGAATTAACTAAATCGCCACATGAGACAGTCTCTCTCTCTCTCTCTCTCTCTCTCTCTCTCTCTCTCTCTCTCTCTC